CAAATAAGTCTAATATTAGGTTTATAGTCACATTGGATATATACATTTGTCAGTACATTGATATCAGTTTGCAGGCTCTAGACAGCAACAAAATGAGTAATGATTGGCATAATCACTGCACAATTTATGATGAGGGAGCAATAATACAGGTCACTCCACAAATTTTAAATGCAGAAGTTTCACACAACTTAGGTTTCTAGTTATTAATGAAGCAAGTCACATCCATATGTGAAATATGGCTAAAAATTGTTAAGATTTTATGTAATAAGCCAAAGAATTGTCTGGAAAATGACATACCTATATATTTAACCAATGTAACTATGAGAGTAGTAAGTACAACTGATGTTTCTGTATTTTTACCACAGAAACAGAGCTGGCTGTGCCTCAGTCCTTTATCTCTACAATGCCAAGGAGACAAAGAATATGAAGAATTATTTTTTTTTATACAAATGTGAATATGTGGAAAGCATTAGATATCAGCACATCCATACAAAGTGGTATGCATAATCTAGTTGTTGAGTGATTTGTGCAATCTTCAAGTGTCTTGATGGAAGTTGCACCATTCTAACTATTCATGAAAATGCATAGGTATAGTAAATGTTTAGTTTACACCCACCAAACTAATAATCTCATTGCAATTGTGCATTAACTAATTCAGCTTGAGATTTGACACACTACCTATTCATAATTATTCAACCCTGTTTGTCAGGCAGGCATACATATGATATGCGGTATGCCATTGACTTAGCTTGATAAAAGGAAACTGTTACTAGTGTAACCTGAGAGCTTTTCCAAAACTTTTTGATCTTTTCATCCCTTTAAAGCAATCCTATATGATGGCAACAAGTATATGAATAACTTGATGGATTATTTATAAAAGAATGCGCCTTGATACAGTTCCATTTAACGAGATCCAATCCAAGTAATAGTATAATGAGATCCAAGTATTACGATGCTCAATTGATTTGAATTATTTTGAACCTGCCACTCCAGATTTAACATTGCATTGATACACAAAAATAAGTGCAATGACCTACCTATCTAGCTACATTAATATGAAACGGAAATAAGTAACTTTGTTGACATCAATGGATGACCAGGGCCCAATATCAATATATGACCTGGTGGACAACTGCAACAGCATCTTCCTTTTATCCCTTTAACCTGCCACCACATTAAAATCTCTTCCCATATATTCTACACAATTTTCCTTACCACCCACCAAACACCTTTGGCAAAATGTGTCGCAATCGCCCGCCAAACCCCAGTCCATGCCCCACGTGCCCTAAGCATTACATAACAAAAGGACACCGGGGAGTGTCTAAAAAGCAGACGAGATTAGCAGACGAGCCCATGCTCAGTAACTACTGGACCGATTTTGATAATTCTTTCACCATTCAATAGCAGGGAAGTTATATAGGTGCCGTTTTTCGTTTTTTGGCGATTGGTTCACTCTGACTGGACCAATCGGACCAAAATGGTCCAGAACCATACACCCCCTTAAAAGCAGACGAGCCCATGCTCCGAAACTACTGGACCGATTTCGATGAAACCTTCACCATTAGACGCGCCGTGGTCTGAAACGGTGCCGTTTTTGATAATTTTTTGATTGGTTCACCCTAAGTGGTCCAAATCGGTCCAAAACCGCTAAAATCTGTTGCAGACGAGCCCATGCTCCGAAACTACTGGACCGATTTCGATGAAACCCTCACCATTAGACGCGCCGTGGTCTGAAACGGTGCCGTTTTTGATAATTTTTTTTATTGGTTCACCCTAAATGGTCAAAATCGGTCCAAAACCGCTAAAATCTGTTGCAGACGAGCCCATGCTCCGAAACTACTGGACCGATTTCGATGAAACCTTCACCATTAGACGCGCCGTGGTCTAAAACGGTGCCGTTTTTGATAATTTTTTGATTGGTCAACTCTAAGTGGTCCAAATCGGTCCAAAACCCCTAAAATCTGTTGCAGACGAGCCCATGCTCCGAAACTACTGGACCGATTTCGATGAAACCTTTACCATTAGACGCGCCGTGGTCTGAAACGGTGCCGTTGTTGATAATTTTTTGATTGGTCCACCCTAAGTGGTCCAAATCGGTCCAAAACCCCTAAAATCTGTTGCAGACGAGCCCATGCTCCGAAACTACTGGACCGATTTCGATGAAACCTTCACCATTAGACGCGCCGTGGTCTGAAACGGTGCCGTTTTTGATAATTTTTTGAATGGTCCACCCTAAGTGGTCCAAATCGGTCCAAAACCCCTAAAATCTGTTGCAGACGAGCCCATGCTCCGAAACTACTGGACCGATTTCGATGAAACCTTCACCATTAGACGCGCCATGGTCTGAAACGGTGCCATTTTTGATAATTTTTTGATTGGTTCACCCTAAGTGGTCCAAATCGGTCCAAAACCCCTAAAATCTGTTGCAGACGAGCCCATGCTCCGAAACTACTGGGCCGATTTGGATGAAACCTTCACCATTCGACGCGCTGTGGTCTGTAACGGTGCCGCTTTTGGATAATTTTTTGATGGGTCCACCCTAAGTGGTCCAAATCGGTTCAAGTACAGCCCAAAAATACGCTTTCATGTAGTCAACCGATGAGCTGGTTTCCGCAGCGCGGAGGTGCCCCAGGCCCAATTAGCATGCATTTTGCTCTAGTTTGGAAAGCAAAATGCATGACAATGGGTTTGGGGCACCCCTGTGCTGCAGAAATCTATCCGGACTCTCGCAAAGTACAAACGGGTTTTAGGCATTTTGGACCGATTTGGACCACTTAGGGTGGACCAATAAAAAAATTATCCGCAGCACCGTTTCAGACCACGGCGCGTCTAATGGTGAAGGTTTCATCGAAATCGGTCCAGTAGTTTCGGAGCATGGGCTCGTCTGCAACAGATTTTAGGGGTTTTGGACCGATTTGGACCACTTAGAGTGGACCAATCAAAAAATTATCAAAAACGGCACCGTTTCAGACCACGGCGCGTCTAATGGCGAAGGTTTCATCGAAATCGGTCCAGTAGTTTCGGAGCATGGGCTTGTCTGCAACAGATTTTAGCGGTTTTGGACCGATTTGGACCACTTAGAGTGAACCAATAAAAAAATTATCAAAAACGACACCGTTTCAGACCACGGCGCGTCTAATGGTGAAGGTTTCATCGAAATCGGTCCAGTAGTTTCGGAGCATGGGCTCGTCTGCAACAGATTTTAGGGGTTTTGGACCGATTTGGACCACTTAGGGTGGACCAATAAAGAAATTATCAAAAACGGCACCGTTTCAGACCACGGCGCGTCTAATGGTGAAGGTTTCATCGAAATCGGTCCAGTAGTTTCGGAGCATGGGCTCGTCTGCAACAGATTTTAGGGGTTTTGGACCGATTTGGACCACTTAGGGTGGACCAATCAAAAAATTATCAAAAACGGCACCGTTTCAGACCACGGCGCGTCTAATGGTGAAGGTTTAATCGAAATCGGTCCAGTAGTTTCGGAGCATGGGCTCGTCTGCAACAGATTTTAGGGGTTTTGGACCAATTTGGACCACTTAGAGTGGACCAATCAAAAAATTATCAAAAACGGCACCGTTTCAGACCACGGCACGTCTAATGGTGAAGGTTTCATCGAAATCGGTCCAGTAGTTTCGGAGCATGGGCTCGTCTGCAACAGATTTTAGGGGTTTTGGACCGATTTGGACCACTTAGGGTGGACCAATCAAAAAATTATAAAAAACGGCACCGTTTCAGACCACGGCGCGTCTAATGGTAAAGGTTTCATCGAAATCGGTCCAGTAGTTTCGGAGCATGGGCTCGTCTGCAACAGATTTTAGGGGTTTTGGACCGATTTGGACCACTTAGGGTGGACCAATCAAAAAATTATCAAAAACGGCACCGTTTCAGACCACGGCGCGTCTAATGGTGAAGGTTTCATCGAAATCGGTCCAGTCGTTTCGGAGCATGGGCTCGTCTGCAACAGATTTTAGCGGTTTTGGACCGATTTGGACCACTTAGGGTGAACCAATCAAAAAATTATCAAAAACGGCACCATTTCAGACCATGGCGCGTCTAATGGTGAAGGTTTCATCGAAATCGGTCCAGTAGTTTCGGAGCATGGGCTCGTCTGCAACAGATTTTAGCGGTTTTGGACCGATTTGGACCACTTAGGGTGAACCAATCAAAAAATTATCAAAAACGGCACCGTTTCAGACCACGGCGCGTCTAATGGTGAAGGTTTCATCGAAATCGGTCCAGTAGTTTCGGAGCATGGGCTCGTCTGCTTTTAAGGGGGTAGGTATATGGTTCTGGACCATTTTGGTCCGATTGGTCCAGTCAGAGTAAACCAATCGCCAAAAAAACGAAAAACGGCACCTATATAACTTCCCTGCTATTGAATGGTGAAAGAATTATCAAAATCGGTCAAGTAGTTACTGAGCATGGGCTCGTCTGCTAATCTCGTCTGCTTTTTAGACACTCCCGGACACCGATGCTATAAGGGCGTTTTTACTTTACCTTACAACGGCAAAAGAGTCTTAATGGCATCATTCCAGCAAAGGGAATATAAGACCAATAACTGTGATAGAAACAATCCAAAAAAATGGTCCATGAATTGTTTCATGAAAACGAAGTTAATTCAAAGTAAATTGATCAAAGTACAAATTTTTCTCAAACACGTCCTTGCTTCACGAAAACTTTTGGTATTGATACACAGTGAAGCTGAAAAATTGAATTTAGTAGCCGCTTCCTGCATCGCATTTTGTCCCTGCTGCGTCATTTGCTCATTCATTTTTCACCTTTGTTTACCCTATTTATTATTGCGCTTATAAATAAATTAGGATATATAGTGGTAATAAATGCAATAAAACAAGCTAAATATTAAAATTGACAATTTTTATTCTAATGTCAAGAACTAAAATGCATAAATGAAGGATTTTGAAAGCTAAATTTGTAATATACGTCATTCACATGAGATATCGGAAAGAGCTTTGTCGATCAGCTGTTCCTACGTCGTAAACAAACGAAACGCTGCCCAGCAGCAAATCTCAACTGAAGCATTCTGCTGCTGGGCATTTTAGTGGTCGGGTTGAGGTGAATGCGGTGTCGGATTACGGCTTATCGGCTTGGGCATCGTACTAGATACAGTGAATTTACCCTTGATAGGTAATTGTTAATCCATGAAAAGTGATTTTCGTTTGAATTTTATGTGTTCTGTGTGAGTGTGGCCCTTCGCAAATTGAAATGATGAAGGATGCAGTCCAAGTTGAAGTCAACTGCAACGGTTTTATTACGGATCACCTTTCACCCTAATTTAGCTTAGTGCTCTGTCGAAACACTTACCATAGTCAATTTTAGAGTCTCCTGTAATTGGCTGTAACTCAAGTTCATTATAATTACAGCTATAGCACAATAACATTTTGCAGATTTCGCTTCTATCTCAAACTCATTGCAGTTCAAGTTGTGCCAGTACCTTTTGTTTGCTTGTGAGCTCTTGTCTCTTTGTTTTCTGAGGATGGTGTATTAGATGTCTCCAAAAATATCCTTATTTATTGCTTACCCCACACCTGTTCTTATTACCCTCAGTGTGACTTGTATCTGTTACCCATAAATGGTTATGATTTGGTTTATATTTTGCTGTTTAAAGTTAACTTATAAGTATGTAATTATGGAAACATAGGCATATATTGGCATATTTGCCCAAATTGTTAGGTATGGTATCTAACTCTGCAATGAGATTATGCTTATCTTAATGCTGTTTTATCTTTTTTATATTTGCATCAGTTTGCAAATTTTAAGCAATGATTAAGCCCAAAATGCTTTGAAATGTAAGAAACTTGTCTTAATCGCTGTGTGTAACTGCCTTTTAATTGGATATTTTTATCACAAACATAAAACCATTTTTATAAAACCAAACAAAAGAGACAAAATGCATTGAAATAAGAATCCCTCCATGTGCCCAATAATGAATGTAGCCATAAGTTGTATTTTGTAGCTTAAATCCAATGGGACCTTGGATTTTTATCCTAGAAACCTGCTTGATCATCTTAAAGAGCAATTTGCTATCATTGAACTTTGAAGATGGTGACATGTAATGAAGGTTGATTGAATGATAGCTGTGAAGAATATGTCAGACATATTGAGTATATACCCTACAGTCACCTTAAAATTTATTGTTAGATGGTACTCTAACTGTTATGATTTTCAGGCTGTCAGCTGTGCTTAAAGGATTAATCATGGTTTCACCAACAACTGTGGTAAGTCTTCCCTCTTATTTCAACTACCAACATGCACAGACTCAGCAATGAGCATGAAAAAACAAGTACAATGTACATGCTTACATATTGTCATTGGGGAACATTGTTTATGGCATGCTGTAGAGTTGTTTCCCATTTACTTAATGCGTTGTTGGGTGTGGTTAATGTATCAATACAACACAATGCTCATTTCAGATTAAGAGCGTGGGTCCGAAGCTGGTGCCGTTCTTCAAGACTGCTGCGGTGTACTTTGTGCTGTTTATCCCGGAGGACCGGCCTTCCTGGCTGGCGCTGGTCATCAAGTGCCTGCCGATCCTCTCGCTGCTCATCTTCGTGTTACTGCACGGCATGAGCCTCGGCGACGAGTGAGTACCTAGCTGGGGAACGAGTCAGTACCCGGGGACGAGGGAGTACCTAGCTGGGGACGAGAGAGCAGACCGGGAGCGAGTCAGTACCCGGGGACGAGGGAGTACCTAGCTGGGGACGAGAGAGCAGACCGGGAGCGAGTCAGTACCCGGGGACGAGGGAGTACCTAGCTGGGGACGAGAGAGCAGACCGGGAGCGAGTCAGTACCCGGGGACGAGGGAGTACCTAGCTGGGGACGAGTGAGCAAACCGGGAACGAGTCAGTACCCGGGGACGAGGGAGTACCTAGCTGGGGACGAGAGAGCAGACCGGGAGCGAGTCAGTACCCGGGGACGAGGGAGTACCTAGCTGGGGACGAGTGAGCAAACCGGGAACGAGTCAGTACCCGGGGACGAGGGAGTACCTAGCTGGGGACGAGAGAGCAGACCGGGAGCGAGTCAGTACCCGGGGACGAGGGAGTACCTAGCTGGGGACGAGTGAGCAAACCGGGAGGGAGTCAGTACCCGGGGACGAGGGAGTACCTAGCTGGGGACGAGTGAGCAAACCGGGAGCGAGTCAGTACCCGGGGACGAGGGAGTACCTAGCTGGGGACGAGTGAGCAAACCGGGAGCGAGTCAGTACCCGGGGACGAGGGAGTACCTAGCTGGGGACGAGAGAGCAGACCGGGAGCGAGTCAGTACCCGGGGACGAGGGAGTACCTAGCTGGGGACGAGTGAGCAAACCGGGAACGAGTCAGTACCCGGGGACGAGGGAGTACCTAGCTGGGGACGAGTGAGCAGACCGGGAGCGAGTCAGTACCCGGGGACGAGGGAGTACCTAGCTGGGGACGAGTGAGCAAACCGGGAACGAGTCAGTACCCGGGGACGAGGGAGTACCTAGCTGGGGACGAGAGAGCAAACTGGGAACGAGTCAGTACCCGGGGACGAGGGAGTACCTAGCTGGGGACGAGAGAGCAGACCGGGAGCGAGTCAGTACCCGGGGACGAGGGAGTACCTAGCTGGGGACGAGAGAGCAGACCGGGAGCGAGTCAGTACCCGGGGACGAAGGAGTACCTAGCTGGGGACGAGTGAGCAAACCGGGAACGAGTCAGTACCCGGGGACGAGGGAGTACCTAGCTGGGGACGAGAGAGCAGACCGGGAGCGAGTCAGTACCCGGGGACGAGGGAGTACCTAGCTGGGGACGAGTGAGCAAACCGGGAGCGAGTCAGTACCCGGGGACGAGGGAGTACCTAGCTGGGGACGAGTGAGCAAACCGGGAGCGAGTCAGTACCCGGGGACGAGGGAGTACCTAGCTGGTGACGAGTGAGCAAACCGGGAGCGAGTCAGTACCCGGGGACGAGGGAGTACCTAGCTGGGGACGAGTGAGCAAACCGGGAACGAGTCAGTACCCGGGGACGAGGGAGTACAGTATATCTAAAAAGTATGTCCCCTGGTTTGGCTCTCCCACAGGAGGCGAATCGGTAACTTGGCTGATTCCCAGTTGCGGCATCCGGCCGCCAGGGTCGCTGCCGCGCGAGCGGCCTTGACCGCTCGCATGTCATTGGCAGTTCGGTCCCTCCCCATCTATACCGAGGTGGGGAGGGGAGAAGAGGGGAAGAGAGGGGAGGGAGCGGCACTCGCTCGGCACTTGGCGATACCTGGCTGACCCCGCGCTCCCTCGCTGACCTTTGTCCTGCCCTCAGGCGAAGACCGACTTCCTGGCCTGTAGCGGCCCAGCGGAAAACCGAGCTCGCGGGGCGCGACTCCATTGGCCCAATCTTATAAATGGAATGCTGTCGTATTCACGGCATTATATAATATTAACAGTGATACCAGCAGTGGATGTGGTAAAATACAGTCCAAAATAAACGAAAGCACTCGATTCGTGCATAATGCGCCCTCCCATTCAAACAAGCCCGCCCACTTCGATAGATGGTGTAGTTTCTTAGGGCGTAAAAGATGCAAAACACTATCGATTTTTTTTAGCTCGGCCACTGGGACCGACAATATACAATTGACTGAAATGCATGAAAACCATTTTGCACTTAGGTAATAGCCGTTTTCTGCACCCAAACTTTAGCCAGTGACGCCCTGTCCATTCTAAAGCGTTTATAAGATTGGTCCCAGCACCCGATTTTATATGAGGAAGTCGTTTAAAAAGCATCTTATTTCTAACGAATTTATTACCAGTAAAACGCCTTTTGGGCGAAGAACGAGCGAGCGAGATAGTGAGCCCTGCACGTGCGGAAGGGCGAGACGGTGCTTCCAACGGGCTTGCGCAAAGCACCCTTCTAACCGGTCGTTAGCGGTGTGCCAAATTTGAACGCAATCGGCCCAGCCATTCCTGAGATCTGGAAGCGGCATTCTGCACATGCGCACGTGCAAACGGGGTCCAAAATGACTTTTGCACGGCACCCTACCAACTGGTCCCCAACCGTGTACCAAATTTGAGCGCAATCGGCCCAGCCGTTCTCGAGATCTGGAAACGCCCCCTGCACGTGCGCACGTGCAGTAGCACCCTAACCGCAACACATGGGAATGCATTGCCTGGTGGGTGCCTACCTGTATGCCAAGTTTCAGCGAAATCGCCCCAGTAATTACCGAGTTATTAAAATGGGAACAAATTTGACACCTCTCATTGTTGTATTTTGCACGTGCACTGGGGGTGACCCACATGCATCGGGAGTATCCTATTTTTGGTAGAAGGGATGCTGCTACCCTACAAAAATTACCGCAAGTCAATCGCCCAAGCGGCTGCTGAGATATGAGCCTCTCAAAATCACTACTTTTGCAAAACAGCTTGAACACCCTTGACTTTTCACGTGGCACGTGCCACGACGGTCGCTGAGGTGTATCAAAAGTAGTCAATTACGGGGTAGAAGGGATGGGGCTACCCAGTAAAAAAGACCGCAGGCCAATCGGTCCAGCGGTTGCTGAGATATAAGCCTCTCAAAAGCGTTACAGGCCGGGCCGGGCCGGGCCGCTCATACTGAGATTTTTCCGTTATATTGAAAAGACTCGCTTCGCTCGCTGCGCTCGCTCGCTCGTAATTATGGCCACTTTTACAGGACGTCTATAGAGCTTTGACTTTTACATTTCTTCCTCGTTCAGGAGAAACGTTTTAACCCTCACCGGACCTTCAGGTTTTCTGAATACCGAGGGACGTTGGGGGTTGGAAGTGAGGAAACAACCCCCTTCGCCGATTCGCCCCTAATTGAGCTAGAGCCTCACGAAAGAAACGATCGTGTGCGTCGTTACGAAATGCAGCGATTGGTCTCCGATTTAAGGACCTGCAGGGTCAGCCGATGACTTCGGAGGTCAGGTCAAGTGGCCCAAGGCACAGGTTCGGTTTTTGGTAAATAACTTCGCTAAAAATGATCGCAGATCCGCGATTTTAGCAGCATCGTGTTTATCTAGCTCAGGCGTGTCGAATGGTTTACTTTTTCTTCGGGTGAGATCAACTTAACCCTCGCCCGTATAGAGGGGGGGTCGAACGGACCCCCCTCCCTCGGTTTTTCGCGAATAACTCGTGTAAAAAGCGGCCGATCGCGACGAAACTTTCGTTACCCTCGCTTTAATCAATTTTACACCCACCCTGAAATTGTCATGACCCTGACCTCAATGACCTTTGACCTGCGACCTACTTTTCGAGACCATGTTTGGCCGGAATCGCGATTCGGCGTATGTCGGCTCGCATTAGCGGCGCGTTTGCAGTCTTTTCGTGGTTTTAAGCGTTCAAACATGGGATATGATGTTGCTTCCATGCATTAGGGTGGGTTTCAAGGTCACCGGAAAGTCAGGTCAGGTCATTGACCTTTGATGACCTCGGTTCACTTTTCGAGTTTTACATTTTCTAGGCCAGTTTTAGGAGCTGAATTCGAATTTAGCAGCCATATGAACATTTACGAAGTAGTTTTGGTGCCCTCGTAACATGTTGCGAAGCTGTCAGAGGCGGTTGCCACCTACTACGAATACCCTTACTGGTTGACCTGACCTGACCTGACCCGACCTGGCCTAAATGCATGAAGACATCATCTGTGATCAAAACTAACATGATATTCGTGATTAGCACCCCGAAAACCCCATAGCAGCCACGCTTTACGACTTTCTAACAGGCCCGATTTTCCCGACTTTTGGGTCATTGACCTGACCTGGAAAGTCAACCGATGACCTAGGAACTTAAAAATGGGTATCATCGACTTCCTCTCGTCACGGCCAACACGCTTGTTTTTCCCGCGAAGCTCTAGCTCGATCAGGGGCGAAACGGCAAGGGAGGGTCCAACGGACCCCCCCCCCCCCCCTTATACGTTTGCGGCTGGAAAAACACCAATATGGGCGAGAGTTAAGGTGTTAACCTCGGGTCAAGGTCAGGTCACAGCCCGTCAGGTCACGAAGCTGGTCAAAGGAGGTCATATTGCATATCAATCGATTCGGCAGGTCTTTTCATGTCCATTAGTGGCTTTATCGACTCGGTAGCTTTAGTTGATCGGGAGTTATTGACGAAAAACTGATACCCTTGGTTACGTGATAAATGACGTCACGCAAGATCAACAAAGCAAAATTAAAGCATCAGACCTTGCAAGGAGCGCATGAAATCACGATTCCGTGTGCTTGAGAATTTGAGATAGTTGTATATCATTTCCGGACCAAACTAGCAATTTCCATATTCCCCTGACTTTTAATGGTGAGAGACTGACCTGATCTCAGGCGACCCTTCAGAAAATCCGAGATATACATTTATACAAGTTGTGAGACTCTCGATCATACTATAAGATCCTGTAAGTTTCATCTCCCTATGAAAGCTCTGCACTGAGGGTGTAGCGAAGTTGAACATTTTAGGAGTGTGCACACAGTCCTAAAATGTTGAGGACAGTTTAGGACAGTTTCACACAGTTCATTTTAGGACTGCTCATTTATGACGTCATAGATCAGTGACCTGACTTGACTTAAAAATGCGGTTGGCGTAAAAAAATCTGACTTATCAAATCCCGACTAAAAAAATCGGCTTATAATCCGGTTAA